AACGGTCACAAGACAAGTCAATAGAAGAAGCAAAGCAAGCTCAGGGTGGATCTCAAGGACACCACACAAATTCCAAGCACAAGCAAGCGGCCACAAGGCCAGTGTCAGAATCAACAAGAGTGATTGCACTAGGAAAGAGTTGGGTACAAGTAGGAAACCCTAAACTTACTGTACCCCATAGTTACTACCCCACTACAGCCTAAACAAACTGTAGCAGATATAACATTTGACACACCCCCATAGGCAAAGTGGGGGAGAGCAAGGGGTCACAAGACCAGTCAAGAAAGGCAAAGCAAGCTCAGGGTGGATCACAAAGTCACCACACACTCTGAGCACAAGCAAAGGGCTACTAGGCCAGTTCACATGCAGAGGCATATATGCAACACAAACAGCACAGTGATCTCTACCTAGCAAAGCAAGCATGCAGGTATATATATATAGATCACAGTACAAGCAAAGCCTTTAGCAAGTGAGGAAAGGTGGGCACAAGCCCTAGCATAGTGCAGAAATGCTGATGATCACCAGACTGAAGTGCCTTGGTGAATATATCAGCAGTGTTGGCCCGATTGGCCACGTAACGCAGACGAAGCTGACCACGCTGCTGCAACTCTCGAGCCAGGAAGTAACGCAGAGCGATGTGCTTCGTTCTGTGCTCCAGTCTGTGCTCCTCACACAAGGCAATGGTAGCCTTGTTGTCGACGTACAGCACTGGAGGAGAACGAGGCCGCTCTCCCAAGTCAGTCAGCAGGTAGGTGAGCCAGCGTAATTCCTGTGCAGCCATGGCTGTGGCGTAAATCTCAGCCTCACAACTGGAGCTGAGAACTGAAGACGAGCGTGTAGAATGCCAAGAAACTGAACCAGAGCCAAGGCTGAAGGTGTAACCCTGTGACGACCGCTGAGTAACCTGGTCGTCAACCCAAGAAGCGTTTGAGTGCCCAGTGAGAACAACTGAGCTCCTCCCTCCAAGCACGAGCCCCATGCCTGATGTACTGCACAAGTAGCGCAGTACCCTCTTAGCAGCATCCATGTGCACCTTTCGGTGCCGACCAGGAGCCACGTAGCGAGCCAGAAGGCCAAGAGGGTACGCTAGGTAAGGACGAGTGCAAGTCATCACGTACATGAGGCAGCCAACTAGCTCTGGGTAAGGACCACTCGGCTCTACGGACTCGTCCGAAGGTGGAGCTGAGAGCGAGTGACCTGTAGCCAGAGGAGTGGCCTGTGCCGAGGACCAGGTGAAGCCGAAGCGCTGAAGGACCTGCTGCACCATGTGTGACTGAGTCAGTGTAATGGTGCGGCGTGCTCTGTCCCGGGTGATCTGCAAGCCAAGGTAGTTGCGCAGTTCACCCAGGTCTGTGCACGTGTGTCTCTTCTGCAGCTCCGACTTCACCAGGGCGAGAACCTCAGTGTCAGCAGTGGCAAAGACCAAGTCGTCGACGTACACGAGGATGTAGAACGGCGGCAGCGAAGTGTCGGTGCGCAGAAACAGCGACGGGTCAGCAGTAGAAGGCGCGAACCCAAGAGCCGCAAGTGTAGTCCTCAATGTGTCGTGCCACTAACGTGGCGCCTGGCGGAGACCGTAGACCGGCCGCCGGAGGCTCCACTGGGAACCAAGAGGGAACGACCCAGTGAAGCCAGGAGGGCGACGCAGCCAGATCTCCTCGTGCAGGCTGCCCTGCAAGAAAGCTGTGCTGAAGTCAAGAGAGTGAAGCTCGTAGTCACGCTGAGCGGCAATGTGCAGTAGCACCCGAAGAGTGGTCATCTTCGGGGTGGGAGAGAAGGTCTGGAAGAAGTCTACTCCCTCTCGCTGACTGAAGCCTCGAGCAACGTAACGAGCCTTGAAGACAGGCGAAGAACCTGGCGGCCACTTCACCCTTAAAATCCACATGCCACTGACGATGTTCGCCCCAGGAGGGGGAACCTCGTCGACGTAAGTGCCAGTGGACTTCCAGGATGCCATCTCTGCGTCCATGGCTGACTGCCACTGAGAGGAGTACTCACCCGCGATCGCCTCAGCGTAAGAGCGCGGGGTCGAGATGTCTGGTGCATCCGGGTCTCCCTCAGGTGCAATCAGCATGGACACGAGATGAGGTACAGCAGTGGCAAAACACTCAAACTCCTCCTGCCTGTCCTCAAGGACGTCCGTGCCAAGAGCACACTCACCCCCAACGGACGGAGGACAGACAGACTCAGACTCAGCAACAAGACTGGCAACATAGTCTAGACGACAGTGAGCAGCAAATTCGACAATTTCAGCAACTAAGGCAGACGCAGCGGCTGACTCAAAGGAAGTGTCAGTGACAACAGTGGCCAGGAGACGCGTGACAGTAGGACTAGCAGCACGAAGAGAGTCAGACTCCGGGTCAGCAAGGGCAGGAAGAGAGGACGCAGGAGGAGAAGGCAGAGGGACATGCTTTGGAGCAGTGGAGAGACGAAGCGTCATCTGGTGAGTGCCTGGGACAGGAGGAGGACGCTGACGCGGGACACGACGACCAGTGCAAGCAGCAGGAACAGGTGACGCAGAACGAGACACAGGTGACACAGGACGAGACTCAGGCTCACGACGCTCCGTAAGACCTCCTGTCGGACCAGTGTAGGGAGAAGGACTAGGAAGTGGCGAGGCAGGCTGTAACTGTGACTGCGACTGGACAGGCGGAGGACACTCTAAGGAGGGAGCAGGACAAGGAGGAGGCGGCTGACCAAGAACCTCCTGAAGGAGCGGAACGAAGTACGGCCGCGGTCGTGAAGCGCCTGCAGAACCAGCAGAGACAGCACCAGAACCCCCAGCAGCAGCTCCAAGTCCCGGAGCACCACCAGCAGCTCTAGCCGCGCTGTCGACTCCAGCAGTGTTATAGTCACAATAGGCTTGAATGTGCCTAAAACGAAAGATAGAGAGCACAGACGGATTTCTGCACAGCGGCTTCAAACGTTGATAGCGTTCTGCTCACAGCTGCAAATGACCTGATTCAAATTGGATCTGGAGCGTCTTCACGTCGTCTACAATTAGCAATTTAGATTGCACGATTTGATAAAGAATTGACGACACAGCGTCGGTTTGAACGAACGGTACTATGGCAGCCACTGTAGTCTTAGAACACAAGATAGGAAGAGTTACGAGTTGGGAATGACTCCCAGCTCCTACAAACCCCAAGAGCCGAGGTACAGTGATGTGGAACAGTGCCACACTGTCCCCAACCACGAAGGGTCTCGAAACTACCCTTCACTAGGGCCTACACCAAGTGAAATGTTACACTACACAAAGTAATGTAACTATCTTCAATATCTTGAGGTGTACCCTTTTGGCAAGCTTCGAAATCACTTGAGGCTTGACACCAAGGCTCGGGCTCTTCATCACAAACTCATCCTTGAGTTCTTGATGGGTCTGCTGCACACACCTGCGACACGCCGAACGTTCGACACAGGACAAAATAGAAACCGCGCACGACAAAATAGAAACCGCGCGCGAGACACAAACGACCGCGTAACACGCGTCTAGCGATAACTCGCTATTGACTCGACACACACACTCGACATCATGACTCAACATTCACACACAATTATAAGCATGAAATATATATTATCCCATGCCCTCATACCATTCCATACACACACACATTCACGCACACGGACAACAAGCCGAGTGCAAACCGTAGGGTTGCACCAACAAACTCCCCCTCGGATTGTTGGCC